TACCGAACCCTTGTTTGTACCATTCTTGGCGAGTAGATGGTGGTCTTGTTTGATGCTCTGATTAGCATCTTTTGAACTCAAGGATTTGTCTTATTCTCTCGCACCGATTGTTAATTCATGAAGAGAGATCGGATGTACTCTAACTTGAGAGGACTGACGTCGTCAGCGAAAAATGAATCAGCCGTAGGAGATTTGTTTACGTTTGGATGTTCTGTTGCAATATTCCCGATATCCGGAACAATTTTTAAATTTACTTCCGTATGTTCTTTCGAGCTCTTGCTTTTCAGTTTTACTACTTTAAGCTACTTTAGCTTTAGTAAAGCTATTGTTTGGGTCAGAGTCGTAGATTTTTAAAATTTTCATTTCATTCAGATTCTTTTTCCTAAACCGACCATGAATAAAGTTCTTTTAGGCAATAAAAATGGTGAAAACATGTTGTTTTTTAATTCGCATATTAGAACAATCGAAGGATGGCAAGCATATCTTTCCAAAAGTTCCTTTATTTTTCCACTTTAATTTATACGGCGACTTTTAAGCCAGAATTTCAATTGCCTAAGTGTCAATTTTTCAATCTGTTCTACGCTCACACTGACGCTGGGAATATCATCGGAATAGTGATTGACTTCTCTTCTTCGTTCGCCATGTTGTTTTGAATATTTACTGCTAGGGCTATTAAGCCTCGTTTCGGTGCAACTTCCCGTTTTTCTTTGGAATCGGTGTGTTGTTGGAGAGACGGCAGGAGAATTGTGGAACTGTGCTTTTTAGCTGACCAGTTGAAAGCGGGTTGTTCGGAGTGTAAAAAGATCTTAAACATCATACATACTGTGCACGAAAAGACCTAGGGTCTGGGGTCAATCCTTTAAATTCAGTGCGAGGAATGCTCACAGCTCAATGCTATAAAGACTGGGAAAACTCATCGCAGTCCTGCCAAAAAGAGTGTAGTGAGACCGATATGGGGCATAAATGCAAAGGCCGCAACAGGTTCGTGAAATTTATTGTCATTTCCCTTCTCTTTATTTTTATTTATTTCTTTACAACTTACCTATCTAATTCCTGTTGAGCCATCATGAACAAAATATCTATGCACGCACGGTCTAGCGTATATAAGATTGCGTGTGCAGTTTCAATTTAGCTGCAAAATTTCCGTCGAGTTTAGTGCAAGTTCCTTTTGTTTAAGTTTCGGCAATGTGAAGATTGTTCTGAACAATCAGAACTCTACTTCGAGCCTTTGACTTTTGCCAAGCTAAGATGTGTACTCAAACGTGAGTATTTTGACTTTGTGTACATTTTCATCAAGTATTTTTGACTTTGTCTGCCTACATTTTCATCGACAATTTTAGAAACCAGGTTAAGCCTTCTCGCTCCACCGTTGGGTTAAGGGTTTTCGCTCAACCGTGGGGTGCATCAACTGATTCCCGGGGTATCCAATTGATGAAATCAATAATCGATGACAATTGATATCAATCAATACCAATCGATATCAATTGATCGATTGATATTGATAATCGATGACCAATCGATGGCGAAGATTCGTGTGGTTATCGATTGGTATCGATTTTCAATAACAATCACTAGATAAATTGATATTGATTGGTATCGATTGGTTGCAGATTGAAGGAATTGGTGCATAAATATCCCATCTTTGTACGCAGTAATTGTAAACACATTTCAGTTTAGTCCTTTGAACGTTAACAGGAGAGCAAGACTCTCTTCTTTCTCTTCAACGCCCTGTCCACAGGTTCCATCTTCTTTTGACAACTCAAAGTTTGTTCCCGTTCTTGCTTGGTTAACAACTTTTAACACGTTTCCACGTTCTCCCCTTTTCTTGTCAGCAGTAAACACTTCACGGACGTTCACCTCAAAACGGCAAAGATGATAGCCTTTGGCAATGCATCTTATATTCAGTAAAGCCTCTTCCCGGACTTCTTGCGTAGACTTATATAATGACACAGAAAGGCGAGGACGGGCAAGTGGGTAATTCGAATACACGTGCAATGGGGTATATTCTTTGCATTGAGAAGACTGTAGGCTTCCTAAAAATGGCAGATGATCGGACAGGTTCGAGGTTGCTGTGCCAATCGATAGCAATCGATGAACGGTTTTTGTGTGGTTATCGATTGATTATCGATTGACCGATATCAATCAATACCAATTAACTAATTTTATCGATTGATATCGATTGATCAATTGGTTTTTTGATCATCGATTTCCATCGATTGCATACCCCGGACTGATTGTGGCATGTTAGGATCCTAATGACCTTTGTTTTTCTTCACCGTGCATTGTGAGAACTTTGTAGTCAATCAAAAATGAAACATGTTTTAGCACCTAAGTTGTTGTCGCCATGTTATAAAAGAATTGGTTCATGCTTTTAGCTGTGCGTATATCGAGTTATGGATGGACTTGGGAAGTTTGGAGAGCGCTCAAGAAGGTAGAGTTGCTCTCGGCTGTCGCCTCGAGCAACTCTTACGCTTCTTTCGTGCTCTCCAAACTTCCCGCGTGCATCCATAACACGACATACGCATTCTAAGCATGAACCAATTCTTAAATAGTCCTTGAAACCTTTTACAGGCGAAACCCATTTCGATGCAATGTTATTGTGGAAAACACAGCCAGTGTTACGTGACTGCGGATGCCGCCTGATCAATTTCTCATTTTGCCAAGATCTTTCGAGTAGTTTTTCTTGCAATGTAAAATTATTATCATCCCTATTTATAATCCATCAAATATTTTCACTCATGCGCGATTGGTCTAAACGCGTCACGTGACCATATATTCCTCAGCTGAAACTGGGGAATATCTGAGGATATTCCCCAATTTTCGAAACTGCGCGTGTTGCGAAAAATATTTGAAGGATAATAAGCACAATAGCCTCCATTTGACTTTGAAAATATGTTCGGATATTTGTCCTTGGACATTGCCTGTTCCTCGAAGCTCACAGTTTTCCTCAAGCTTCGCTCTCGGAAAACTGTTCACTTCTGGGAACAGATAATGTCCGCGTACAAATATCTGAGCATATTTTCGTACCAAATGGAGGCTGTTGTTTATATAATCTTTGATTGTATTTTGTTCACTCACAACTTCCCAAACCATGAACTTTTTCTCACGTGCAAACTTATTTCGACGTAATTATAAAAACAAACATTGTTACATGACCGCCCATACTGGTAGTCCAATTTGTCATATACTTTCACTACAATTTGAAACTATCTCTTTGTTATTTTTCGCTTTGTCAAAGGATCGATTAATGCTGCAACAGGAGTGACTGGCATGAATGTGTTCCTAACCTTGCTTAACATTCCATGGCTCTCAAAAAGAGCATACAAATTTCAGGAGGAGGCAATTGGGGGGATTTTGCACGTCACTAAAGAGACCTGCACAGAAACCATAAGAAAGGAGGTGGAGGCTGTTGCAGAGTCAAATCCGTCTGAGACCACAAGCCTTGCAGTCTTTTTACCTTAGGTAAAAATACAGTCTTAGTTTTGAAATTAAAACAAAGTGCAATTTCCCAGAATTACGAGTAAGTAGCTGAACTATAAATGAGAGATAGATTCACGCAAGTTTACAAATACCCAAATTCCATCAAAAGTAAGAAAATCTTAGAACAAATATGTTTAAGCATCTTCTGAGCAGTTTAAAAAAGAATTAACCAATTTTTACCAAATCTCCTTTGCCTTGCTACAGAGACAAAGCAGAAATAAACTCTAGCTCTGATGCCGCCTGGCAAAAGCGAGGATCTGGCAGAGCATACAATAGTTTGTCAGGTATTGTATTGCATGTGTCATGCTGGGACTTTTTTTGTTTTGCAATTACTAACGACAGTCATAACGAATGTTTTGAAAATATAATTTGTAAATCACCAAGTCATTCTCATGAATTCAATAAAATTTGGGTTACACCTCTTTAGAGTGGATGAAAAGGCACCGCTATACAAATGAAAACATCAGTTTTTAAATATTTTTTTTCACAACAGAAAATCAATAGAATCAACGAAAAAATAATAAAAAGTTAAGCAGTCCCACCTTATGAAGAGGTCTTGATCCACCACTTCTTCAAGACGGTGTTTGCTTATGGGAAGCTGATGCAGGTTCTTGACTGATTTTGGGAGTATGCTTAAAGTATGCATTTCATTGCTAGGTCATTTTACATTGATTGGGTCAAAAACTGGAGGTTCTGAGTTATACTGTAAGATCAAAAAGTTGCAGGGTCTGCAATCATGCCAGAAGAACCAATCAAACACCAAGAAAGCACCAGTGCTCACAAAACTGAACAGGTAAGTTCTGGTCTAGATAGATGCATCTTTTTGCAGTTTTTACATATAAGACTCTTTATTGTTACAAGCAGACACTTGCACAATAGTTACAAAAGGCTCTGGTTTTTAATGCCATTGTTTGACTATAATTATTTTGTGATGCAAAGTACAAAAAAAGAAAAAAAAAGAAAAAAACCCAGTGAAGCACAAGTAATAGTTAAATAATTATTATAAAACAGTATTTACAAAATATAAAATAATTAAGTTGACTTTGTAGCTTGTGACTTTTAATTACCAGAGTGATGATTTAACTGTATAAGCGTTGTTATATGTGATATTGATACCCCTGCCATAGACGGATCCCTACCGATCAGGAATTTTCAATTTTCTCATTTCTTAGGTGATGGCCATGTTGCTCTCACACCCACAGAGCATCCAGAATTCCACCTGTTACCAGAGGTACTAGGGATATTTTCTAATTCTATATTAATATTAATTATTTGTGATGTATTATTTACATCTGATAATTTTTTGCTGTGATTGTAGGTTCTGCTAAGTCAGTGGAGGCTTCTATAGTTGTAGAGCTTACAAGGGGCTTGACAGGAGAGCTGGACCTAGACAACAAAGGGGGAAGCCCAGTCTATACACTACAGTGTTGGCAATATTATCATGGATGGAGATACAACCACCATATCCCACATTAATCAAAATGTGAATGATCAAATCAGTGTCTGGTCTGACATTGGACATGCCAAGAAAGCGCTCCATGGTCACCTACTAAGAATATCTTCCAGCCACAAGGCTTTGAGCAAAACTGTCATTGACTATCTTGTCAAGTGCTTTGGGTATGTCCTGACGCAGAACAAAGACAATCCAGAGGGCATTCGAAACGATTGCAAGGTAATTCCAAACCATGCTTTTGGGGACCACAGTTCCTGTGGTTCATGGTGTCAGTACAAACAAAATCAAGAAAGTTATCACCACCGGTCATTATCTCATGGCAAGGATCTTGAAGGAGAGGAACTAAAGGGAGATTTGTTACTGTTGAAGTAAACAGTTACTATTATTGATCAGTTTGTCTCCAGAAATTATTACGTTGCAAGTAAGCACAAGATACAGAACTCAGCGCAGAACTAAAATCCCCTACCCCCCCCCCCCC